ATCCTATATTTATAATTCAAAAACGTAGTACAATAATGCCACGATCCGTCGTAATTTTGGTCTATATATGCAAGCATATTGTGGTTTCAAAATCTCATTGCATTGCATATCCAACGCAATAAAAAAAAAAAATGGCCTCTCTTTATAAGTTATAACCGCATTCGGATTTACCTAAGTGGTGAACTGGAGAGGAAAGCAATCAGTCCTCAGGATTAGTCAAGCAAAGTTTAGACACCTGAGATATAAAAAAAAATGGCCTCTCTTCAAGCTTCATGCATCCTCTTTGCCAAGCCATCTAAATTATTCACCTACCATTCCTTTCAAGTGTCGTGCAATGCTAAGAAAGCCAGCTCTCAAGATGTTGAAACTTCCCAAGGGAGAATAGACCGGAGAAATGTGCTTATTGGGCTTGGAGGCTTGTATGGTGCATCCAACCTCGTGTCGAATCCATTGGCATATGCGGATACTGTAAAATCTGAATCCGAAAAGTGCACGGATCCTGTAAAACCTGACTTCAAAAACTGCGGTACTGCTTACGCTGAGAATGATCCTCTTAACATTAATTGTTGCCCTCCAGACTCCGATAACATCATTGATTACGAGCTTCCAAGGCCACCACAGAGATTGCGCGTTAGACAGCCGGCTCATATGGTCGGGAAAGAGTATATAGCAAAGTATGAAGAAGCCGTTAGGCTTATGAAGGAACTCGATAAGACCAATCCAAATGATCCCCGTGGATTCATGCAACAAGCTAATGTTCACTGTGCCTATTGTAATGGACCTCATGAGCAAGTCGGGCATAAGGGTTTAGACTTTCAAGTTCATGAATCTTGGCTCTTCTTTCCTTTCCATAGGTGGTACTTGTATTTCTATGAAAGAATCTTGGGTAGTTTGATTGGCGACCCAGATTTTGCTCTGCCATATTGGAACTGGGACCATCCTGCGGGAATGACGATGCCGCCCATTTTTGATAACCCTCGTTCACCTCTGTACGATGCAGTCCGGGATCCAAACAATAGAGGCTCTGCCGTCGTCAATTTGAACTACACAAGCAGTGAACCCACGAACGATCTAACGCTAGTGGCCAACAACCTCCGGACAATGAATAGCGAAATGATCACAAGCGTCAACAATACTCTTCAGTTCATGGGAGCTCCTTATTGCGATGGAAGCAATCCCCGACCAGGTATGGGCACATCAGAACGTGGTTCTCACACTGCAATTCACATATGGGTTGGAACCAAGGATAAAACTGAGGAACATAAATATAATGAGGACCTAGGCAACTTTTACTCGGCAGGTCGAGATCCACTTTTCTATTGCCATCACGGAAATGTTGATCGAATGTGGACTATATGGCGAGAACTAGATACCCCAGTCCGTAAGGACATTACTTCACCGAATTACCTAAATGCCCAATTTCTTTTCTACGATGAAAATGCTCGTCTTGTTAGGGTGAAAGTTGCTGACTGTGTGGACCAGGAGAAAATGGGCTATACATATCAATACATGCCTATTCCATGGCTTTGCTATAGACCACCAAAGGAGGAGGCCGAGGCCAAGGCCAGAATAATGAAAATTTCTGATATTCCGAATGTAGCAGCCGTGTTACCTATAACCCTGAAAAACACTGTCAGGGTTTTGGTTCCCAAGTCCGCCAAGGGAAAAGTGAGCGAGCAACTCGTGATCGAAGACATAGAGAGAGACACTACAAAATTTATCAAGTTTGATGTGTTCGTGAATGATGAAGACGAGGATTTTGAAGCACTGGACAGGGCTGAATATGCTGGAACCTTCGCACAAGTGCCGCACAGAACTAAGAACGAGAAGAGCAAATCTTCAATTTCTTTGGATTTGACTCAGCTTTATGACAACATTGATGTTACTGATGATGATACCATAGTGGTGACGATTGTGCCGAGATCTAATGGCGAAGATATCACCATTGGTGGTATCAAGATCGTTCCTGCGTCTTCGGAATCTAACGATGATTATTAGGTTCTTCCTGGAATAATATTAATATTGATATTGATGAAATCCTTTAATCCTTTTTTAAAATAATAATAATAATAATAATAATAATGTCAGGAATTTTATGTTTCTTGGTTGTTGTCTCTTTAATTTCTGTGTTTGGGTATTGAATGAATAGAACTGTCATTCTACGTGCATTTATAGAATGATATGAGATTTACTTTTACTAGTGGTAGAATTGTTACTAAAGAAGGAAAAATTGCAGTATTAGTCCCTAATCTATGCAATTTGTAATTTGTTGCACACAAGTCCACATTCTATTTATTTTAGCATGTAAGTCACCAAACCGAAACCATTTAATTAAAAGTTAAAATGTCACCTTAATATTAGAGAGACCCTTTTACCCTCCTCAACAACTAACACAAAAATAAAATAAGGAAAAAAAAAGTCATAAACAGAATTCCCTTGCCATTACGAAGGCCAAATCCAGGAGTTTGAGTCAGCACTTGCGGCCGTTGACCATCTATCGTTTGCCGCAATAAAATATTAAGAGTCCGTTTGATACCTTTTTTTTGCAAAAAATGCATTTTGGAATAGTGATTTAATGAAGAATGTGTGGATAAGAATAAAGAAAATTTTGAATTTGTATGTAATATTATTTTATTGAAGAATGTGTAGAAGAAAAGAAGAGATAAAAATATATTTTGAAAAAAATGGGAATCGAACAAGACCTAAAGTTTAAGAATAACAATTATTTTGTTCAAACTAAACATATATAATTCTGTTATAAGAATAAATATGACTCTCAAATGACATTATTGCCAAGTTTTTTATAATTCAAAGGAAGAGCGTGGATTCGAGTCTGTAGAATTGTAGTTGCATTAAACCAGTCAAAATCTAACAAATATTATTTTGGTAAATTTAATAACACGGTTCATGAAGTACCATAATAGTTAAGTATACAACAATCTTTGCACGAGGTTATAGGTTCGAATCCCCTTTGCACGATGCTTCACTTACAGGGGGGCATTTTCATAAGGCTCGGCCAGGGCGCACACAAGGGTGGGCCTGCACAATTTTTTTTCTTTTTTTAATGTAGGTCGATGGGACCGACCTGCCAGCTACAGTGAGGGGGCCTGTAAGCCCCCTGTAGAACAGTGCTCTGTACACATGGCATTGTTCCTAAGAATAATACACAACAATTTCGTTAGTGAGATATTCAAACCCGAGGCGTCAAAAATAAACGTGCAAGCTCCAACCCACTAAACTACAACAAATGTTTGAAAATGAAATGAATCACCGGTAATATAAGGTAATAATTTAATCTATTGTCAAAAGAAAAAATCCCTCGACAGGCGACGAATCCAACAGGCATGGCCGCAGGTGCTCACCAGGCGCTTAATCCGCGCCTGGCCATTACCCCATGTATCATGGTCCTTGGTTTCACGAGGACTATGGGATATTTCTTCTCCTGGTTTCGCGAAATAACCGTGTCAATGGTTTTATGAAATTGGTTAGAGAAATAGACCTTATTTTTGATAAAAACTAGGGGATTTTTCCCTCCTTAAGTCACAATGTTATCGCGATTCAACAAAAACAAAAACAAAAAACAAAACAAAACAAAAAAAATTGTCCACTATTTTCTAGTATGGGAGGGGTTGGCAGTGGCATTTTCTTGTCCCCCACCTTTCATTTATTCTCTCATATCATCTCTGTTGATGATTTCTTTTCATTTTATCCTTTAGTATCACGTAAACCGACAATTCTATCCTTAAACTTTAAATATAAAAACATATTTTCTAAACTTCACCTTTTCTTTTCTTCCAGCCATTTCCTTCTAGTTCCTACTATGTGCTTTTTTATGTTTCATGGCAGAGAAGTACTAGTCTAAAACTACTTATATGGTAACAAGAAAAGAAGATAAAAAATCATGCCCATTTCTCTTCCATACCCATTATCTATTGCACGGTATACATTATCTTCAGATTAACCAAAAAAATATATACATACATGCATATTCTTGACTTTCTTGATCCAATAACTGTTCTTTTGTATTTTAAAGCTCAAGGGAGGATTTGGTTCTCTTGGTTTGATTATTAGATGAAGGTGATGCCCCTACCTTTTGAATTTGAATGGAAGGATGTGGATTTAGAGCTTCTCGTTTTCAATAATAATTTTAGGGCTAATTCATCTTAGTAGGAGAGCGATAATCACTAAAAACTCAATTTTCTTTCTCATAAGAACCTAAAATGACGATTTCATATGCATCTCTGGTAAATTCATTGTACAAGCCCCACTCTTGTGAGAAATACTGTGCTATTGAGGGAAAACAAAGGATGTTGAAGGGTAAAATAATTTTCACCTTGCAACACATCCTCAAAGGAAATAATGAATAAGTTAGTTAATGATTGCGGTGTCTATAAAAATTATTTAATGTTAAAATATATATATTTAAAAATGTGATTAATTAAGTAATTTTACTTAAGGCCATTTAAGTAAATAAAAATATTCATTAAAATTCTGTTGCAATAAGTAAATTTTGTAGTGGTAATATAATTACCCTTTAAAAAATATAGTGAATTAATGGAGAAAAAATACCTCCTTGTCCACCTGTTGACCTTGGGCGTTCTTACTATTCTGACGGGCGATTATAACTTGAAAAATGAAGGGCGGGGCTTTGTCCCCTGTTTTACCTCTGGCGTGAGAATTAGTGTGTGCGTTAGGAGAAATTCAGACAGAATTTAGATTGCCAAAAACAATGTCAATCCCCTTACCTTTGTCGTCTTCGGGGGTAGAAAAATGTCTTGGTAGGTATGATAGGCTCGATAATTATGTTTGAAGAGCCCCAGGTCCCAAAGAAAGACTTCCCGGATCCGATTCGCGCGAGGTAGCCATATATAAGGACATTATGGATGGGGGTTTTCAGTTTCCCATTCATCCCTTCCTGGTGTTGATTTTTAATGAATTTCACTTTACCCCTAGTCAAATTAACCCAATGCATGGAGAAAGGCATTGTATTTCTTGTATGTTTGCCTTAAGAGGAGAATTCCACTTTCCATAGACCTCTTCAAGTGCGTCTTTGAGATGCACGAACTAGTTCAGTCACTACTAGGGTCCCTTTGCTCTTTCCCAAGTTTAGGAATTTGAACAGTAGGTGGAAATCCCGGTTCTTCTTTGCTCGGCCTCTAGAAGGTCGATTCCCTTTCAATACCAACTAGTGGCGTCCCCAGATTCGCCTTTTCAATAGCCAAGTAGAAATTACTTTTCTTCTAAAAACTCAAATCCAAGAGTTGGTCGATGTACCCCCTCTCGCACCTAATTTATGATCGGTTTTAACCATGAAGAACATGTTAATAATGGGGATGATTCGTCCTAATGGTAGGTTGTTTTCGTTTGTTTTTGCTATTTTTTGCTTGCACATATTTCTTGTTTGTTATTTTTCAGGGCTAATGAGTTTGGGCGTGTGTATGTAGATATAGATTTTGACCTTAATGAGGTATTGAAAACCCCATCGGGTGGTGATGAGGACCTTGCTCCCATTGACGTTAAGCTCTTAAGGTCCCCTTTTTTGCTTCATACTCCCATTTTCCTTTTTTCTTTTTTATAAACTTAATGGACCTTACTTTACATGCGCAGGGCAGGGATGAAGTTTCATTTGGAGGGAACTATGGATTCTATGCCCGAACAGGGGCATAGGAGTGATGTTGATCCATCTCCCATTCCTTTAAAAAGAAAGAAGACAGCCGTCCAGGGAGGAAGGTCTCAAATGGCCAAAGAGACCCCCCAGCCTTCAGATAAGCCTATCGAGGTTGTCCCTGCTCCTAGGCCAGTCGCTTCCAACTATATGCAGTGCGAGCGCAAGGATTCACTTTCGAATTTCGGGTTTCCTCCATTCGGGACTATCATGAGATGGGGGTGTTTAAGTCTTTGGTGACACCCGCACAGGCCACAGCGATTACAGGACGTGGCGCAGACGACATCGAGAGGGCTGAAGCGGTTTATCTCCAAAGGGTATGTTTCTAATTCCATATCTCTTTTACGCTGAGTCTTATCTTTTTTAGCATGGTTTTACCAATCGACTCTCACATTGTCTCTTCATCCTTTAGGTGGTGGCCTTTCAGACTAGGCTTGCTGAAACTAGTCGTCGCCAGGCCTTAGAGTTGAAGACTCTTGCAGAAGAAAAGAAGAAAGAGGCCCATCATTACAAGAAAAAGATATCTTCCTTGAAGAAATCTTTAGAGACTTTGGAGGCTCGAGCCCGCTAGCAGGAGACAAAGAATGACAATTTACAGTCTGTGTTAGCTTGTGCTCCAAAGGAGTTGGTCAAGATATATAAGGCCTCTACTGAGTATACTAGGGACTTAGAGGCATCTGTGGAGTAGTATAAGTCATCGTCTAATTATGTCAGGGCCTTGCATTCGTACGGAGGGAAGGCGATGGCGGCATCCATCAAACTAACCAAGGAGTGAATATCAACCGAGCATCCTTCTATTAACCCCTCAAGTTTTGATAAGTTCCTTGCGCAGCGCAAGGAGAAGGAGAGTAGGGCTTAGCCATCCAGGTCACTTGGTCATTCGTCGCGGGGTGGCAGTGGCGGTGCTTCCCCTTCGAGTTAAAGCATGGTTTAGTAGTAGTACCTTTTGTTAGTCCCCCTCTTTTTTGTGTTGCCTTTTATTTCTACTTTTAGCATCATTTCCTACTTGTCTGGGGTGTGGGCAAGAGCACATCACATGTTTTTTGTATGAATGCTATGTTATCAGCAGTTACTAATGTTGAATGCATCGTTCTTTTAACTTGTTATTTCTAGAGTTGTTTTCCTTGCTTAGTCTTTTGACAGCATGGATGAATGGCATTCGTTCGCGCGTGCTAGGCTTTATTCTAATGGTTGGCGGCCTTAGACAATATTTTGACCATTTAAGACTTTTCGCCTAGCCACATGGGCTAAGTTGATCGTTGGGAGAGGAGTCTAGCGGTTAAGAGCTTTAGCTAATTTTTTTGGCTTTTCAAGGCTCTCCGTCTAGCCGCGTGAGCTATGTCGACTGTCTGGAGAGGGGTCTAGCGGTTAA